TTCAGGAAAACAAAGATAATTTCATCTTAGACTTGTGAAAATTGATAATGTTCAGTAAAGCCATGAATTGACCATGGTTAAATCACCATTAGAAACCTAGAAGTATTGAATGTCCGTTTCATTCTAGTGTATGGGACTCGTAAACAGTGTACATTCACGAACTCCTCATGTAGGAAGGAATCAAACCTCTTTGGTTTCGCATATGCGAACACTTAACATCTAGACATCCAACAGTGTGAATGTTTAATTTTAACCAGTCCGCGAGACGACAGTCACCAATGGTTAGAGACCTTGAATGACATGGTTCTAAATTGTTTGCAATGGCGCAATTGCATCCATTCTTTGTGCTCTCTCAAATCCTAATCTTCTGGATTCGTCAGCACCTCTACCTTTGTCTATCCAACCTTATCTCACTGAATTATACTTCTTGAATAATATCTTCAAACCCTCTTGTCTTCTTCATTACCATTAATACCTCTATTATCTCTACTATCACTATGGGATTCGGATTGACATTTGCGTCTCTGTGCTAATGTGGTGGTAATGGTAACCTGAACTTATGTAGTACATACGTACGTAGTTCTACGTTGCAACTGACTGACTGACTGAATCCAAAGTATTGCGCCACCTCACTCAACACTACCCACAGCCAACACAAGTTGAACTCAACTAGTCACAACTTCTCATTAGAACTCCAAAAATCTCCTCACGAATCTTTCAAGTTTCTACTAGTCATCTAATAATGATCGATTCAGTTATTCAATGAACGAAAAAGATTATTTCTTTTTTTTAAAACTACCTACAAGACAATTTTCCATTGTACTTTCCTTTTTGTAAATTTTGAATTTAAACACAGACAAAATAAAATTTAAAAAAAACTTACCAACTCATTCTGGTTAATTTCAAACAAACACACATGTAAACATGTTCATTGATTGAACATTTTTGCATTGAAAACATGAAAAGCCAACTTAATCAAAACTTTCCATTCATTCACTGAGCTATTTCCGATAAAAGTACTCACACTATCGGCTCAACATAACTCACACACACACATACATGCATATATGGGTTAGGACTGAGAGGCTGTATGGGATAGATAAATAAACGAGAAATTGTCAGTTTACTTTCGTATTTAGTTTGCGTAATTACTGTGTCTTTTTTAGTTGAGGTTGTTTCCACATGGTTGAAATTATTGTCTCTCCTATTCAATGTCATTGTTATTACTATTATTATTACCATTATCACTGGTATTGTTGTTTCGTCGTTTTCTGCTCAACTTCACGCATTATGTAATTGTTGTTTTCGAGGAGGAAAAAATTATGGTGTACACAACACATTTTGCCTGCCTGATTTCCTGTCCTCGTTGTTGGTTATTCAATAACAAAAGAGGAGAAAATACCAGTCGGAAGAAAAAAAAACCAAAACTTGGTCTCTTGTTCCCTTTTATATTGTGTCTTTTCCTACCGACATCAAAAAAAATAAATTATATCTTTTCAAGTGAGATGATAATTTTTTTTTTGAATGTTTATGTAAAAATGCACCAGTAGTGCTTGGAATAGACACACACTTATATATACACACAAAGAGAGAGATAATGTATCATTTCAAGTGTTTATCTCCTGTCTTATTTCGGAAGAGAGAGAGAGAGAGTGAGGTGAGGTGAGGTGATTTTCGATTCGAAATCTGATTTCCGTAGCTGGTGATAGTGGTAGAAAGTATATCTATCTATCTAATATTGTGATAATGTTGTTTGTTGGTTGATTGAAGCGATTGTTATTTGGATTAGTTATACTACTAATATCAGTAGTATTGTTAGTACTATTATTACTCCCGACCGTAGTGGCTACCTTGACGTGCTGGTCGGGCTTGCCTATCGTGATGACCCAACCGAGCTATACTGGCTGGAACACATGTTCCTGCAGGTCCTACCATGCCAGGCAGGTCGACTGTAGAACGATGAGACTGAAAGCAGCTACTCAAGGTCTGAGGGCGAAGTCGTACTGCTGACTGCAGAGGGGTGTGACAGCAGTAAGGTGTTTCCCTCGGACAACCAGCATCTGCAGCGATGCTGCCTTCTCACAAGGAAGGGAGGGTTAGAAAAGGTCGACCCTAAAAATGTCACACCTCATCCTACCTCACGGATTTCCGTCTCCGTCGGTAAGGATGCCCTCTAAGGTCTTTCAAGAGCGGAACTAATACTCAAAAAACCCTTCATGAAAAGGCCGTGCGTGACAGGCCTGAAGTAGTTGTCCGTTTGGCTCTGCGGTCACGCTCCCAGGTCTCTAAGACCAAAACTAATCTATCTTCCTTTTCAGGTTCCTCAAGAAACAACCTCCCACGATGTGAGCAGCCGGGAAGTGACAACCGCCCTCAGACCCGTAACAGCACACGAGACCAAATTGGTCAAAACCAAAATCAAATCCTTCCTACTATTATTATTATTATTATTATTATTATTATTATTACTACTACTACTACTACTACCCACACTACTACTACTACTAACACCATCAGTACCCTGTCGATAGCTACACTTATATCTTTTATTGATTTTTTGTTGTCCAATTTTTGTTCAGTGTTACACAAACAGAATATTGATTGCTGGTAATGATGAGAACACTGATGATTAACCACCCGTGTAGCTGACTTACACTAACCAATCGATTTTACTGATATTCTAGAAACTGACTAAATATCTCTTTTTACATACAGAAGTGATGAGTTTAAATGAACTATGATTAACATTTATTTAAGGGTGTTTTTCAATCAATCATTACCGTTCTAATTTACAAGGTGATTTTCTATTTGAGAGTGTTTCAATTTTTTAATTTCAAGGTGAATGTTAACTTTGCTAATGTTTAATAAACTGCAAAACGAATAAAAAGAGACAGTTCGATTTCGTACGTACGGAGTTCTACATTGTAGCTGACTGACTAGACAATCAATGACTTAACTGATTAGTGACAATGTCTTAATTTAAACAAATCTAGATATGTTTCATCATACCTCCGACACTAACCGTAACATAACATTTCAAGAAGTGATACTGTTGAGAATATGTGAAAAAATGTCCCGACTATTTGATTCGATAAAGTGTATTTGAGTAATATATTGAGTAATATATTATTTTACACATTTTTGAAACCATGAACCGATCAATGTTAGACCACCATTAGAAACCTGGAAGCACTGGACGGCCTCTTCGTCCTGGTATGGGACTCCTCAGTGGCTCAGTGGTCTATCGGTTAGGGCGTTCGCGCACAATACCGAAGGTCCTGGGTTCGAATCCTGCGGGGTGCAGGAGTCGTGGATGCGCCGCACTGCTGAGGAGTCCCATACCAGGAAGAAACGGCCGTCCAGTGCTTCCAGGTTTCTAATGGTGGTCTAACATTGATCGATTCATGGTTTCACAAATGTGTAACTTAACAATCTTCGCAACCCCGTAATGCTAATATATTATATTCAATAAAAGTAGATTAGACTGAATTTTGAACCTTTCATATTGAACTGATTTAAATTCGTGTAATTTCACTAATGAATCATCATTCTGATGCGAATACAATTTCAAAATTTTTCTTTTTCAATCAGAGTTATGGTGACCATTGTTTTTACACACTAAAAATCATCAATCAATCATTGCTGGATCACCATTAGAAATCTAGAAGCACTGGATGGCCATTTCGTCCTGGTATAGGACTCATCACTGATAGTGCGCATCAACGACTCCTGCCCCTCACAGGATTTGAACCTCAAGCTTGGGCCTTGCACGCGAATGCCTAGCCTTTGAACTACTGAACCGGTATCCAATGGTGTTATTGTCTAACTCTGATCAATCTAGGGATTATCAGTTAACTCGCTCAATTATTTGAATCTCTGAGGATTAAAATCAAAACTAAGGGTGATCGGCTAAGAATCACTGTCTAGTCGATGAATCGCGAAATAAAATGTGACAAAATTATTAGATTCTCATTTTAATTATTTCAAGAAAATTAATTCATTCCCATCAACTTATTTCTCATTAAACTGATAAATTTGCTGCGTTTTTATATACACTCTTAGGGTAAGTAGACAATTTGAAATGTTTACAAACTTATGTAGTTTAAATAAAAACCGTTGAACATTGAAAAAAAACTATTAACAAACTATTTCGCACTAATTTATAAATCTGCATCAGCCTCTATTGATAATTTAACAATATAATACAGGATAGATTTCTCGGTTTTTTAGAAATATTTAAATTAACATCTACCAAAGTGCAATAATAACTCCTCTCTACAGCCTTCTGAAGGTCACTGCCGATCCCAAGCCTGGATAAAAGAAGAGAGTTGAGCATGGAGTTAACGACTACTCCATCCCATAGAAAATCAGCTCAGAAAAAAATAATTTAAGCTCTGCCGTTTGGAGTTGAAAGGTTTTCATTCTTCACAGTATGTTAATATTGAAATTGATGAAACAATCGTCCAGTGCTTTCAGGTTTTTTAAAGGTGGTGGTCTAACATTGATCGATTAATGATTTCAGTGGGTAACTTAACAATCTTTACAACCCAATGCTCCCTGGGGAATCTTCTCCGAGTTCTAGTGAGAAGTTGTGCCCAGTGAGGTTCGGACCGTTTAGATGTAGATAATGACTACAGAAGACAAAGTATGAGGTTGCGCAACTCCGTGAACTGATCGAAGTTAGATATTAACATCGTTAGATCCAGCCGGCTCAATAGTCCAGAGGTTAAGCGTTCGCGCGCAAGACCGAAGGTCCTGGGTTCGAATCCCACAAAGTGCAAGACAAGGTGGATGCTCACCGCAGCTGATGAGTCCCATACACCAGGACGAAACGACCATCTAGTGCTTCCAGGTTTCTAATAGTTACAGTCTAACATTGATCGATTCATGATTTCTATGAGTAATTTAACAATCTTCACAAACCCGTAATGCACTGATAAATGATACGTTTATGATTGCTACTATTATGGTAATCATAATAATAATAATGTTTAACTTACACTAGGAATATTTTCTGTAGTACATATACCTTCTTGTAATAAACGATCACGTATTTCCCATGCAAATATTGATGGACATTCTTTTTTATAATTGGCAATTTTTAATACAACTAAATTTGTTGCCACTCTTGGTTTACTGCCACCAATTGCTTTTGGTCTAATAGAACCAGTTTCATAATAACGACATAGAATTTTCGAGACACAACCATTCGATACTTGTAGAATACGTGATATATCACATGGACGTGCACCAGAATGTGCCAATTCAATAATACGTTGACGTGTTGTATCCGGTAATGGTCGACCATTGACAAACATTCCACCTAGCTGATTCACGCCGGAATGTCCTTGAAGTTGATGAAGAAAAAAATATATAAATAAGTATCTGATATATTGAAGAAATGCTATCATTTGAGTAAGTTAGTTTGAGATAAGAGTCGTTCAGTGGTCTGTCCTTAGACTGTAGAACTAAATGACCTCATACTTAATTACTTACTTACTTACGCCTGTTACTCACCAATGGAGCATAGGCCGCCCACCAGTTTTCTCCAACTAACTCTGTACTGGGCTTCCCTTTCCAGTTCTGTCAAATGTTTGTTCATTCCTCTCATATCTTTCTCTATTTCTCGGCGTAGTGTGTTCCTTGGCCTTCCTCTTTTCCTTTTGCCTTAAGGGTTCCATGTGAGGGCTTGTTTTGTGACGCAGTTCGGTGCTTTTCGTAATGTGTGTCCTATCCACTTGTACCGCTTCTTCCAGATTTCCTTCTCCACTGGAATCTGGTTTGTTCTCTCCCACAGTACGTTGTTGCTGATCGTGTCTGACCAACGAATACGAAGTATTTTGCGTAGACAGCTGTTAATAAATACTTGTATCTTCTGGATGATGGCTTTAGTAGTTCTCCATGTTTCCACTCCATACAGTAGAACTGTCTTGACATTTGTATTGAAAATCCTGATTTCGGTTTTGGTTGACAGTTGTTTGTAGTTCCAGATATTTTTCAATTGTAGAAATGCAACCCTTGCCTAGCCAATCCGCGCCCTCACATCTGCATCCGATCCACCTTGATTGTCGATGATGCTGACCAGATATGTAAAGGTGTTAACGTCCTCCAAGGCATCTCCATCAAGAGTGATTTGGTTTGTGCATGCTGTGTTGCATCGGAGAATTTCGCTTTTTCCTTTATGTATGTTGAGACCTACTGCTGCAGAGGCTGCTGCTACACTGGTAGTCTTCTCTTGCATTTGTTGTTGCGTGTGCGATAGAAGAGCCAAGTCATCTGCGAAGTCCAGATCGTGGTGGTGTTTCGTTCTCTGAGCTGGTTGTTTTGGTTGTGGAGCTTTCTCCAACATCTCAAAGTCCAGATCGCCCAACTGCGTCCTAACTGTCCACTGAATACCATCCTTCCCTCCAGATGTTGACGTTTTCATACTCCAGTCGATGACCAGGAGGAAGAGAAAGGGTGAGAGTAAGCAACCTTGCCTGACACTGGTCTTCACCTCGAAAGAGTCTGTTAGCTGTCCTCCGTGTATGATTTTGCAGTTGAATCCATCATAAGAATTCCGTATGATGTTGACTATTTTCTCAGGCACCCCGTAGTGTCGAAGAAGCCTCCACAGTGTTTTCCTATCCACGCTATCGAATGCTTTCACGTAGTCGATGAAGTTGATGCAGAGTGGTTGAATTACACTCAATTGATTGTTCCACAATGATCCGTAATGTAGCAGTTTGGTCAGTACACGATCGATCCTTACGAAATGCAGCCTGTTGGTCTCGTAGTTGGACGTCTATGAAGTCCTTCATTCTGTTTAACGATACCCCGTTGAAGACTTTGCCTGATATTGAGAAAAGAGTGATACCTGTGTAGTTCTCACACTTGTTGAGATCGCCTTTCTTTGGTATTTTGATCAGGTATCCTTCTTTCCAATCTGATGTTACTTGAAATGACCTCATAGACAAGGTCATTTCGTTCAACATTTTATACACACCTAATTAACGAATGTCAGTTAACATAAAAATTAGTTTAAACAAGATTTCCTGTAGATAACATTTGACGCAGAAGGATTCTTCAGGCGCAATGTCACCATCAACACAGGAATCAAAGTACATCCGGCTGACGAGTTCCATATTGAACTAAACGATCTTTCTGGACTCCGTTTCAAGCCTTTATCCATCTCTGATTAAAATAATTTCTTGAAAATGATTACAATTTGGTAAGGTTAACATTATTTGTTGAATTATATTGGTCAGATTATTGAACTCTAGAAGTTTTGTTCTTTATTTTGGCGACACAGCGACTGACAAATGCTCTAGTACGGCCAAGAGTGAGGAATGTGTGATCTTCCTCTTGAAGAGCTCTCACATGTCCACGTATATATAGCTACTGACAGAAAAGTCTTACTCATTGCCTTTCCGTGTCAGGAAAGTTGTATACTAAAATGAGGACGATAGGCGATATGCAGCATTTATCTAGGAGAGTTCAGCAAAACCCTGATTCCGAGTCAGTGATGAACATAGGCTCCAGGATCCTCACTGGACAAATGATGCATGGACTTATTGTTGGTCAACGGCTATCATAGGAGCACATCTACTGATGTTGCTCTACTGTCTTACGGGTAAATGCCTGGGCAGTGGCATCGCAACATAAGCTTTCAGTTTCGGCACCTGCATAATAATCCTTCCCGCTTACAAATTCGTTGATTTGTGTGACATAAATATTGAGGGACCCCTGTAGGTATACATTTTATTCATACTGTATGAAATCTAATTTGACAGTTACGCCTATTCAGATTTTGCCTAATAAATTTGCAATGTAAAATAAAAAGTTTTTTAAACTATCAAGTTTTCTTCTGTTATCCAAACTATTTTTTTAATAAAATGGAGCCGTTATTTAACATTGTTATTCCCAAACTTCGATATAGAATTTAATCGTTCACGTGCACGACCAAAGGTCCTAAGTTCTAATCCCGCGAGTGGTGGGAGTCATGGGTGCGCACCGCCATTGATGAGTCCCATATCAGGACAAAACGATCGTAAAATGCTTCCAGATTTCTTCTAATATTAGTCTAACATTGGTCAATTCATGATTTCACAAAGTAACTCAACAATCTTCACAACCTCATAATCTTTTTAATTCTAACAGAAAATAATTTTTAAAATAGTAATTGAACTTGTCAAATAATTTCCACTAAACAATACTACTACCTAATTGATTTTGAAATGAGTAGTATATAGCTTACCTCTTTTTAGTTTTTGTCTACAATTATCATCATTGCTGTCGATCGATGAGTTGTCCATATTTAAAGCATTCACACCTATAACAATAATAAAGTAAAGTGAAGTGACGTAATAATAATTTTCTGACTTTTAAACGTTCTTATCTATGTCTCACTAGAAAATCCAAAATGACATTGCTACAATACAGTGTCGTAAAGTGTTTTCATATATATACATGATCAGTTAACTTTGTTAAGATGGTAGTTTTTTTTTCATGGTTCTTGCAAAAAATAATCTAATCTAAGGGAAAAATATTAATAAATGTGGTTTCTTTCCACATTCCCAATGGTTGAAATATATCAGTTAGTTAGCAACAACGTAGAATTTTGTACGTGCATACGTCAGTTCAAGTTGCCATACCACAATAGCACCGAGGTAGAATCAGCAATTCAAATCCTACAGTGGTAGAGGCAGTATAAGTATGAGCAGTAATCGAAAACATTATGGTTTGAAGATGTTATTCAAGGAGTATAATTCAGTGAAATAAATTGCCGAAGAGAAAGATGATGAAGGTTATGAGGAATACAAGTTCAAATTTTACGAGAACACAAAGAGTGGATCTACGTGCGCTATTGCAAATGATTTTGAGCCATGTCATTCTAATACCTCTAACTATCGGTTACTATCGTTTCGTGGATCCCAACCAGGTAGTCTACACCTATCAACATGGTTGAAATATGTCGAGATTTTAATTGACATAAACAGAAGTATATGAATGTCTAACTAACACTGTCAACTACTCATAAATAAGTTACTTTATATAAATATGAACCAATATTACTTAATATGCGGTTAGTAATCAGAGTGAGGATGCACGTTTTCGGTCCGTTCTTATTGAGGATTCATCATCAGCCCGATGTACCTTCATTCCAGTGTTGATATTCACAGTGGGACAGATAAACACTTTTTTTCAAGAAAATTTGGAGAAACTTAAAATTAAAAGAGATATCTATCGTTAGGAAATTCGTTTACGAGGCACATGCTTGAAACAGAGATTAGTTAGTTAGGATTAAGAATACAGCTGTACAAGTAAACAGTGTTGATTAAACAGAATCTAACTGTAACGTCAATGGAAAATCTTGTTTTCTTCTTTTAATGGTTTCTTTCAACCAAATATCGATCAATCTTTAGATTAGATTACATTTTTTTCAAACAATGAAATCAAAATTTTCAGGCACTGTTTGATCGGTTAAACTTAATTTTTAACAAATGAAATTGACTACTAACTGTGGAAAATTGTAAATTTTACTCTCAAAAATAACAATCATTTTTACTGCGGTACATTCAAACAAATAATCTTTGACATTGAACATTTTCAAAGATTCTTAATATAAAAATAAAATTAATAACTGGATTTTCAAATTAATTAGGTTATAATTACGCAGAAAGTTTAAAAAATATTTTGTTTCGTTAAAGGATCACCGAAATCGATCAATTTTGATGAATGCATTTCAAAATTGGGCCGTCAAATTAAATATTCGCCTAAAGTATTTATGAGATATTTTGTTGTGAAAAATATTTTATCAATATTGATAAAATTTTTGAAAATGAAAAATACACTTTCTAAATGTGTTTTTTTTTTCAGAAGTTATTGTCGTCTTGCTCTTCCAGCAGTCTTTCGAAGGTTACAGATAGGTGTCCCAAGAGTTGGGGACATGTGTGATTAGCAATCTTAACCCTGTAGAAAAACAACTTTGTTAAAATTCTGGGCTGAAATTGTTCTCGATCTTTGTAAGATCCATTTTTTCTGGAAGGCTTTGTTTGTGAATGCATGTAGACATTTGTAATTTGTCCTTATCGATTCCTTCAGTTGTACATTTTCTTAATCTGTTAGATTCCATTTCGGAAATGATAATATTTGTATTTTATTATAGTTTCTATTTCTTTTGTGCCTTGACTGAGTTTCTATGTTTCTTTCTGAACTGCATTATGTGGTCGAAGCTGATACTTAGTCATGACGACAACCATATTGATTTGTTCCTCTTTGGATTAGGTTGCTTGTACTGACTGGAATTATGCATTTTGATTATGAACTGAAGCACTCTTCCAGAATAGGAAACACTCTGTGTTATAAAGTAACCAAATATTATCTGTCGAAAGAATCTGATCTATCCAGGAGGGATAGAATATCAGTTATCTGTTGCTGTTGTGGATTTGAATAACTGAACAATTGTTGAAGGAATAACTGAGTGGCAATATTTGTTTAGGTAATGATGTATATTTATATTTATGATGAATATTAGAACCGTCATTTACCCAAATCAGTTTGTTTTGATTTTAAACTGAGCAAGACGCGTATCTAAACCACCTAGAAAATTATTCCTTAATCCAATCCTTAGTTTGGATCCTACAATCTTCTACTCTTCTGTAATTATTAGTAATTCTCTGTTATTTCAACTAGTCTAAATTGCATTTCCTATGCATTGTGTGTATATTTGAGAGTACACTTAAAAATTATTAAAAATCATTTTTAGACCGCCATTAAAAACCTGAAAGCACTGGAAGGAGGCCGTCTCCTCCTCTGGTATGCGATTCATCAGTAGTGCGCCTCCACAACTCTTGCTCCACTCGGGATTCCAACTCACGACCTTTGGTCTTACGCTTGAATGCCTAACCCTCTGAGAGTAATGAATTTTCTAGTAAATAATCTCTCGTTACATTCGAAGGAGAATAAAAAAATAATCTAACACCTGGGAATGTTTGTATTTCAGTTGTGATTTTTTATGAATCATTAAACAGAACACTAAATTTGTAAGTTTTGCTTTTAATCACCCACCAAAGTACATAAAAAATTCCTATGAATACACTTAAACTAACAATGATTAACTGTAACATTCATAGGTTGATGATATTTTGATTTAATAGTTTAGAAGAAACCAAAAAAAAAAATGTGATCAATTCCATTTTGTTTAAATTAATTTCAAGTTTTAAGTAATATTATTAAAAAGAAATTGGAAATATTAACAATCCACCAGTCAGCTATAACGTCAAATTCGATAAAAACACATAAGCCAGTTCGAGTTGACATACTACATTAAGACAGTCAGTCAGTTGTAACGTAGAACTTCGTACGTATGTACGCACATAAGTTCATGTTGCCATACCACATTAGCACACAGACGCAAATGTCAAATCAAATCTCATAGTGATAGAGATAGTAGAGGTATTAATGGTAATGAAGAAGACTAAAGGGTTTGAAGATATTATTCAAGAAGTATAATTCAGTGAGATAAGGTTAGAAAGACAAAGGTATAGGTGCTAACCAATCCAGAAGATTGGGATTTGAGAGAAAACAAAGAATGGATGCATTTGCGTCATTGCAAACGATTTCGAGTCATGTCGTTCAAGGTCTCTAGCCATTAGTGACTTTCGTCTCGCGGACCCCAACCAGGTAGTCTACATCTACCAGCATGACTGAGTCCACTTGTCAGTGAATTCATGGGTTTGTGTCATGTTTTTGGTTTGGTCACCTCTAGCTTTATTCCAGCAAACATACCACCAAACATGGCTCTACAGAGCAGTTGGTGGTTAGGCATACGTAACACATGTCATTGACAAGTGGACTGAGTCATATCGGTAGGTGTCGACTACCTGGTTGGGGTCAGCGAGACGATAGTCACCAATGATTAGAGACCCTGAACGACATGGCTCAAAATCGTTTGCAATGGCGTAGGTGCATTCATTCGTTATGCTCTCTGAAATCCTAATCTTCTGGATTCGTCAACACCTCTACCTTTGTCTTTCTAACCTTATCTCACTGAATTACACTTCTCGAATCAAATCTTCGCTACCTAATCTTCTCCATTACTACTAATACTACTGCTATCGCTATCACTCTTAGATTTGAACTGAAAGTTGCGTCTCTGTGCTGAGGCGGTATATGGCAACCTGAACTGATGTGCGTACGTACGTACGAAGTTCTATGTTGCAACTGAATGACTGATTGACTCATTAATTGATCTGCCATCCTTAGCATAGATAGAAATTTTAATTTGTCGAGATTAATGTATTTAGTTATATCAGTTTTATAAAGGCATTGTTTTGAGAGTTACGCCATTTTCATTAGTACATTGTTCAATAGTCAATTTTATTTTGAACCGAATCATTTTAAACAAACTGACAATGAATTTTTTGATCAAAAGTTTTTTTCCTTTAGGTGGGAAACATCCAGTTTACACATACTACTTGCAAACTAAAAGACATATAAACTGATCGTTGAATTTTTGTGAGTTCAACTCCAAAATCGGATTAACGGTACATTTTCTTTAATAGACTGAAATAAGGATATGACAACTTTCCAATACTCTCTAATTTCCAATCGCTGTCAATCTGTGGTAATGAATATCATCTCTAAAAATTAATCTTTTCTCTACCAAACAGTAACTTAACAAAACAAATAAATTTTAGCTTACAAAAAAATTTTTTTCTCAGTTTAGTAAAATAAGTAATATACTTAGATGTTGACATGATGGAGAAAATATTATAGCTCATTGTGGAGGACGATTATGGTAGAGTTTCGTTCTCTAAGTTGACAGTTTCAGTCGAGGAGCTTTCATTGTTCTTCTCTGGATGACAACATCATTGTCAGTACGTATTTAAATCATATTTGTGATATAACAACTCTTTACGTCAACAGAGCAATTACAAATTTAGTTTTTACATCAAGTTAAATAGAAGTAGTAGTCAGCTCTGTCTGGATCCTTTCTAAGGTTACTGCCGATCTGAAGGAGGAGGAGAGTTGAGCATAAAAGTTAGCATCCTCAATCTTGTCGGAAACCAATTTATTAGAAACAAAAAAATCGACGCTAACCAGCATAAATAATTCATAGTTTCTTGGAAGAGATTGTCTAAATATTTGAGTTGATTTATATTCATAAAGAACCATTTAGAATCGAGTGTTTTCATCAATAACTTTTCAACTATAATTTTCATTAGGTTGTGTATCAATTTCTTCTTGCTAGTTGAGAACTAATCTGAACTTCTTTGATATACATCTCATTCTACAATGAAAACAGAAACTAACTAATGTAGTAGTAGTATGGGACTCATCAGTGGCAGTGCGCATTCACAACTCCTGCTCCTCGCAGGATTCGAAACCGGGACTTTCGGCATTGTGCGCGAACACCTAACCATCGGATGATTTCAAATATGATGAAAGACTGGTATTTCTGATGATGTTTATCTGTAAACAATAGCCAGTCAGTCAGAACTTCATACGTGAGTACGTCGGGTCAACACACAGAGATTGAATTGTCATTTTAAATCACATAGTATTAGATAGAGGTAATGGAAAAGATTGGAGATCAAAGGTATGATTTAAGAAGTGTATCCCAGTGAAATAATAAATTTAAAAAGAGAAAAATATGGTCATGAGGAATTCAGAAGATTAGAATTTGAAAGAAGTCAAAGAATGGATAAATTTGTGAAATTACAAGCGATCTTGATCCACGTCATTCAAAATCTTTAACAATCGATTACTATTGTCTTGCTGAGCCTAATCTGTCCAACATGACTCAGTCCAGTTGTCAGTTACTTCATGAATATATGGCATGATTTGGTTTAACCGCTCGTAGCCTTAATCTAACCTAACCCTACATCAAACAACATCTCGCATCGAAGCAGTCAGTGATTGGACATACGTTAAACATGTTCTAACCATCTCAACTTATGAAGTTTCACTGCTACATCTACTGATCTACCACCCTATACCTAACAGCAGCATTGCTAGGATATTCAAGCAATACTTCGCTGACTCCTATGATCGAATATCAGTCACTTATAAAAAAAATGTTAAAACCTAATTATTTATTGATACAACCTGATAAGAAAATAATTCTAACTTGAAACCAATCAACAATAATTTTAAGATGAATTACTTGTCGTAATTTTTAGAGAAAGATATGAGAGATATGAGAGGAATGAACAAACAATGGACAGAACTGGAAAGAGAAGCCTAGGACAGAGTTGGTTGGAGGAAACTGGTGAGCGGTCTATGTTCCATTGCGAGTAACAGGCGTAAGTAAGTAAGTACTTGTCGTAATTTGTCAGAAATACCTACTGGTAACTCTTCAGGGAATTGACACTTTTTTTTAGTGACTGAGTAATTAGTCAAATATATATATTCACGAATACATTCATCAATCAGTTCAATGTTACACAATTTTACACAATGATTAGATAAGTTGCATTTAAGGGACACGATAACAAATGACAAGAAATTATTGTTTGTGTAATTTATTATGTGGAGTGCAAGTACATTTTAATTATTTAATTAAGTAATTAATTATAAAACTCAATTAAAAAATGTCTACTATGATTGATCTCATCATCCTGAACTCAGGTGAACACCGTTGGATACCGGCTCAGTGGTCTAACAGTTAGGGCTTTCGCGCACAATACCGAAGGTCTTGGGTTCAAATCCTGCGGGGTGCAGGAGTTGTGGATGCGCACTGCCACTGATGAGTCCCATACACCAAGACGAAACGGCCGTCTAAACAGTGCTTCCAGGTCTCTTCTAATGGTGGTCTAACATTGATCGATACATGGTTTCGAAAAATGTGTAACTTAACAATCTTCACAACCCGGTAATGCGAATATGTAGTCATAAAAAATATTGAACACTGAATAATACAAATTGAACGAAAAAGTCCATTTAAACAACGCGACAGTATACATACCTGATTTAATTTTCATATTATATAATATAATGCTGCTTATCGTTGTATTTGTTTTAATGATCTGTTTAAATTGAAGATAGAATTGAACATTGAAATGAATAATATCCTCCACATTGATGAATAATATGCTAATACGCATCCATACAAAAGTACTATTTGACAATTGTGTTCAATAATTCAATAAAAACTCCACTACCGTGAACGGAAATTTTCAAATTTCAATAGTTTGTCAAATAATTTTGAAATATCTGGAACATTGATTATGATTATTACTTTCTGAAAAAAAATTTATCTTTTCACAAAAAGATGGTTGTTGAATAATGGGATTTCAAAAGGAAAAATCTTTTTTTTTTTTCAAGATTGTTTATAATTTCCCCAAATAATGTCAACTTTGTTTTAATTTGTAAAAAAAAACGATGAATTTGTGTTTTTCCTTGTTTGATTTTAAAAAGCAATCGAAATTTGTAATGATGATTATTTGAACGCATAAAATAGGATGATGATTCTTTGCTTTTTTTGGCTTATTGCCTCATTCACCATCATAATGTGATGTTCAATTGAAGAGAGATAGAGAGGGGAAAGAATCACGGAAAGATGAAGTTTCATTGTAATAAAAATTAAATTTTATTACTACAACCTAGAATCATTTTATATGAACCAATCAAAAATCAATGCATTTTTTACACAAATATTCCCAACTCCCATAAACACACATACACACACACTTTATACACTGACGTACACTCACGTATGCACACACACAGCACAGGCAACTACATAAGTTTTCTTGCTTTCATATTTAAACAAATGATATCCCTTTTTCCTATGGAAATCCTGTCTTACACTCCATTTTTTGTTTGGTTCGAATGAATTGGCTGGCTTAAATTTATTTCTTATTGTATAGGTGAATGTATGTCTGTTTGTACATTGTTTGTACATTGGGTTTTTGCCTTGCCAAATTGTAAGGATCTGATTCCGATTGGTCGATTGTGTGAATGCGTTGAAACTAGAAATTGTAGGAAATCTAACTATCTATCTACCTATCGATATGCAGTCAAGCATTTTCTAAACTAATCATCCTGTGAAAGAGAGATAAAGAGAAGGGGGAATGTGAGTTGATGATGATAGTTGTTGAATTTAAAAAAATAAAACCCACTTTAAATGTTTTAAATCTAATTTTGCAGTGAAACAATGTGAAGATGCATAATGTTAACTCGATGGAAGATAGTTGTAGAGACACAGGACATAGGAGTGAGAGAGAGATGATTTCTGTTTCTTTAGGCAACTTATCTCTATCCAATCAATCTACTTACTTATCTATCTATCTACCTACCTACCTACCTACTTACCGACTGACCGACCGACCTACCTACTTACCAATCGTTATTTCTTTCCATCTTATTCAATCAACACTGATCTACTGATGCCAGTGATTCTTCTATCCAACTAACTATTGGTCATTTAGTTGGGATTGTTGTTGAAGAATGATAATTATATTTATTTAATAATCATAGTTCCAAGTGATGACAACTTTATTACTCTGATACAAACAACTAAACTCACACACGCACACACACACACACATAGTAATATACATATATAGATATGTGTGTAGAACACTGAAAAATTATTTCATGCGTAAATAATTTGATAAACACATGCAATACTACTTACATTGATTACGAGGAATAAAAAATAGTCTGACCCATTTAAGCATTTATTTTGCTGTTATTATTATAAATACTTGTTACAAAATGGCTTATCTTCTAGACTTATTGTTGTTCAATTCATTTCATGTTATAGCTATTATTATTGTTATTATTATGAATATGAATATTACCAGTCTTTATGCCTGAAACACACAATCAGTACAGGAAACTTGAATGATTCGTTTTTCGGTTTACCTAATAAATGAATAATCCGATAATTTTCGATAAAAATTTATCAGTTTTAATCGATATTATTGATATATATATGTATATGTATAACCCTAACATGCAATCTATTATGTGCTCCGTGAGAATATTTCTCCGAATTGTAGTAAGATGTCGTGGTCAATAGAGTTCAATGTTATTCCAGTGTGAAGTAGTACTCACTGAAGACAAATGGGTAAGGTTACTCAAGACTATGGATTGATAGATACCGTGGCTCAGTGGTTCAGCAATTAGGCGTTTTCTCGCGCAAGACCGAGCTCAAGTCCTGTGAGTTGCAGGAGTAGTCCCTTACACCAGGACGAGACGGCCGTCCAGTGATTCCAGGCTTCTTCTAATAGTGGTCTAACAATACTCATCGATTGATGATACCTATTTAATTTCACATAAGATAAGACAAAGAGGATGGAACGCGTGTTCATTGGATTTCACTGCTAAGTACCATTCTATCTTTGTTAATAATACTTGTAACCTAAAAGCGACTTTGAAGCAATCCACACAGGAAGAGTATATGTGAAAATGAGACTGATCAATTAATTGAATTACTTACTTACTTACTTATTCCTGTTACCCCCCAACGTAGCATAGGCCGCCAACCAGTATTCTACAACCTATTCTGTCCTGGGCTCCCCTTTCTAGGTTATGTCAAATTGTTGTTCAATCTTTTCTCATGTGTGTTTCCAATTCTCATCGTAATATGTTCCTATATCAACCTCTTTTCCTTTGGCATCGAGGATTCTAACTGAGAGCTTGCCCTGTAACTCATTTTCCTATCCACCTCTAACAATTCCTTCCTCAACTGGAAGCTGATTGTTGTTGATAATGTCTGACCAATGAATCCTAAGTAGGTTGTATAGACAAATGTTAATATACAGACAGCTCTATGTTTTGAATAATGGATTTTATTGGTTCTGTGAATTTCTGTTCCATATCGTAGAACTGTCTTGATGTTTGTGTTGAAAATGGTGACTTTGGTGTTAGTTGATAGGCAGTTGTTTTCAGTCCCAGATATTCTTCAATTGTAGAAATGCTGTTCTTGTTTAACCAGTCCATGTCTTTACATCTTTAGATCATTGATGCTGACCAGGTGTGTGTGTGTAAAGGTTTAAATCTTCTCCGTTAAACGCCTCTTTGGTTGTGTCAAATGATCTTACTTTTTTCTCTTGTGTATGTTGAAACTCACAGCTGCAGAGGTTGCTATTACAGTAGCCACTTTCATCTTTTCAACTTTTATACTATTTTTTTTTACTTCAACCGGGTTCGATTTTGAAAACAAAACTACTCCCAGAAGACAATGAACGATAACTACAAAACATCAGTAAATGTCAGCTCAAGGGGTCTATTGGTTTAGTAGTCTCACGTGCAAAATCAAAGTTCCTAGGTTCAGTGGTGCTTTAGAGCTCTACTGAAGAGTTCATGTTAGAACGAAACGACTATCCACTGTTCTCATATCTTCAGAAATTTTATAATTTTTTTAAGCCTATCTATGTCTTCACTGGTTTCAATCCATTTTTTTTTTCAATACCACTGAAATTATAAAACAAAACAATTCTACTAAGGATATGATCGTTTACAAAAAAGGAACATTTTCTTCTGAAAACAATCATTAATCTGTCAAAATTCAATCTATATAACATTGATTGATGAGTAAAATTAGTGAGTAATAATGTAAAATTCTAATCTAATCATCACTTTGTGTTTTTACTCATCAAATGGTTACATCATCGATCATCAATCTATACAAATCATCATTCTAAGCCGCTGTGTTTTCATGTTCACACTGATCAATTGAAGTTGAAGGTTAATTTTTGACTTGTCAACAACAACCAGTCGATTAGGGTAATCTTTTATTTTCTGAATTTTTATCGAAAATCAATTGTAGTTTCAGTTGAGTTTATGCAGAGTTAAAAATGGTTGATAATCGTCAAAAATTAATCTCTTTCTCTGTGTGTGTGTGTGTGTATAGGTGTAAATCTTCCTCACTTTGTTTCAGTTGATAGACAACTGCTTCTAGTAAAGAAATGTGATTAGTGTAGGATTTTTAAATGTATATTGTATATTGATATATGAAATATTTTTCTCATTAGAGGGTTGTTGAAGTTGTGGAAGCACTGGACAGTTGTTTTATCCTAGTATGGAACTCATTAGTGGAGTTCAACCATGTCCGATACTCACTGAAGAACATTAACACCTACTATACGGATGCGAAACATGGCCGTTAAGAGTAGAGGACTTTCATAGGTTACTAGTATTCGATCATCGGAGTCTCCGAAGCATTGCTCGTGTATCATGGGACAACCGTATAAGTAATGCTGTTGTTAGGAAGCGAGCACTAGGTAGGGGTGGCAAATCAATAGATGAAGTGGTGAAACTTCATCACTTGGGGTGGTTGGGACATGTGTACCGTATGCCTAACCACCGACTGCCTCGACAAGCTATGTTTTGTAGTGTAGGAGTAGGTTGGAAGAAAGTTAGGGGCGGTCAAACCAAAAACATGGCAGAAATCCATAAAGTCACTGACAAGTGGACTGAGTCATGTCGGTAGATGTAGGCTACCTGGTTGTGGTCCGCGAGATGAAAGTCACCAATGGTTAGAGACCTTGAATGACATGGCTCAGAATCGTTTGCATTGGCACAGGTGCATCCACTCTTTGTGTACTTTTTAATTCTAACCTTCTGAACTCCTCATCATTTCTATCTTTCTCCTGATAAATTTATCTCACTGAATTATACTTCTTGAATAATATCTTGTAATCCTTACTGCTAATACTTCTACTATCTCTATCACTCTTGGATTTGAACTGACAGTTGCGTCTCTGTACTGATGATGCATGGCAACTTGAACTGATGTACTTACCTACGAAGTTCTGCGTTGTATCTCTCTGTCTGTCTGTCTAACACCACTGAATGACACGAGTCAATGGTCTAGAGGTTCAGCATTCACACTCAAAACCAAAAGTCCTAGGTTCGATTCCCACATGCGGAGGTAGTGCATACACACACACTGATAAGTTTCATATTTGGACAAAACAATTGTTCAGTGCTTCCAAGTTTCTAATAGCGAGCTAACAATTTATTGATTAATGATTTCAATGAAATATATATCTATATATAATTTTAACCGTTGAGATTAAAAAAAAATGAAGTTTTACCATTTTGCGAGAACATTACACTAACAAATGTAACATTTTCCTAACCTAAACAGACAGACATATTAAGTGTATAGAGTAACAATACTGTGCGATCATTTACAGTTTTGTTTTGATTTTAACCTATAAATTAGTTGTATGGTGTTGTGTTTTCTCTGTCTTTCTAATCAATAATAAAAAAACTATCCATCTTAATGTAGTAGTAATCTTTTTTTTAACAAACTGACATTAGAGTAAGATAGAATAAATCTCTTCTTCTCTTATTCAGTAATCTGTATGCACACACACACACAAACACACAAAGAGAAAACACCGTATTTCTTCAACAATGAAACATTTCAATGATCAATTTTGAATTGAATTTTCCAGTTCAATGATCAATTGTGAGTAGGTAGGTGCGCATTTTTGAACAGACAGAATAATAATCATAATAATAAGAGGAAGAAGAAGATGAGGAGATCAAAGGCGAAATCTGAAGTAAGTAAGTCAGTGAGAAATGAACTATGCCCACACACTCACACACACATATAATTATGATCTGTATTCAAATTGATTTTGAAATTATATATATAGCCAACAGAAACATGTGATGATAGGTGAGATAGATGGATATATACAGGCACCAAAAAGATTATTATTATTATTATCATTATTATTACGAGATAGGTTTTAAGTATATATATACCTAGTGTATATACCTTTGGTGAGCCTCTTTCTCTCTCACACACACACTTACACACACACGCACACAGATGAGTTCCGAAACAGATGAAATTGAAATTCACCTGACTACCAAATGGTTTAAAATAAAAGAGAGAGAGAGAGAGTGAGAGACACAGAGAAGTATATAATTGAATTCGATCGAAATAAACATCTGTGTTCTCGTTGTTGTTGTTGTTGGATGTGTACAGATTTTGATGAATTTGGGAAGTTTGAATGATCAGAAGAAAAAAAATTCGAAATGATTTTTGTTGGTTTGTTGGTTTAAGCGAACTGGTGTTTTCATAGTAACAGTACCATAAAACTGATGATGATGTCTTTAGTTGGGATATATATATGTGATGAAAGTTCAGAGCTTAACTGTGCACTTATTGTGATGGGTGCTACTCACATAGTGGTATATAAGTAGTAGTAGTCGGTGGAGTAGTGAAATTACAGAATTAATTGGTAAAATATACAAAAACTATATCGTAAATCGTTCATTTGCAAAATATCGATCCATCATATCGAACTGGACTGTTCCTGTTGCAAAACATCAACAATCCATTGTCTGACATTTCACTATTCATGCGTTTCATTAAAATTCCATTGTGCTCTAACTCTTTCTTTCTTGACCTTCGCCTATCTTCTGCTGCCAGACATTACGTTGACACTCACGTCATATACTACTTATAAGTAGCTCGCACCACAGTAGTAGTAGTAGTGTGGGTAGTAGTAGTAGTAGTATTAGTAGTAGTAGTAGTAGTAGTAGTAGTAGTAGTAGTAGTAGTAGTAGTAGTAGTAGTAGTAGTAGTAGTAGTAGTAGTAGTAGTAGTAGTAGTAGTAGTAGTAGTAGTAGTAGTAGTAGTAGTAGTAGTAGTAGTAGTAGTAGTAGTAGTAGTAGTAGTAGTAGTAGTAGTAGTAGTAGTAGTAGTAGTAGTAGTAGTAGTAGTAGTAGTAGTAGTAGTAGTAGTAGTAGTAGTAGTAGTAGTAGGAGGCAGAGGAATGTCGCTTATATGTTACTACTAAAAAGAGAAAAGTGTCGGCAGATCAAAATCCACGGTATGATCAGTGTGTATTAAGAAATCAGAAGAGAACTGACTGAAGACAATCAATAAGTTACTTGTACTTCAAATGGATAACTCCACAATGCAGCCCCACTTGCGCTACTGCAAACGCAAAACATTTCAAATTTGGAACACGGTGAAATGAATTTTTCAGTTTCAGTTTTTAGTGACATTACCAAGTGACTAGACCGATCGAGGTCAGACATTAACACAGTTAGATACCACCAGCTCAGTTGTCTAGCATTTAAGTGTTAGCACACAAGACCAAAGGTCCTGAGTTCGAGTCCTGTAAGTAGCAGGAGTCGTGGATGCAGATTGTTGATGAGTCCCACTGCTTCCAAACCATAGGATAAGCGTTCACGCGTACAGCCGAAGGTCCAGGGTTCAGTGTCCTTGAGTGGGGTTCGTGGATGCTCATTGTTGAAGAGCCCCATATCAGGACGAAACAGTCATCCATTGCTTCCAGGCGGTCTAACAATGATCGATTACTGATTTCAGTAATAAGTGTAAATTTTTTTATTTCCCAAGTACAATATTAATTTACTTCACATTTAAATAGTCACTTTTCTTGAAAAATTTTATTTAGTCCAATCTAACGATTTCGATGTAAGTGACATGCAAAAAAAATAACTCTGTACAAATATAAACCCAAATCATTGAAGTGTGAATAAAAAAAATCAAGATCATCACCTCCGCTTATCAGATGGCTAGTGATTTCACTTACTTGCATTGTTGTAATGAGTTTGTTTTCATAAACAATGACAGATTGATTGTCAGTTCCGTTTATTTATTTACTTACCTGTTTACTGACTTATCATCAAGTGATGTAAACAGGTTACCAATGTGTAAATATACTGCCAACTGAACAGTAGTTCACACTTACAGGTGTGTGTGTGTGCGAGCGCGCTCGCGCTTATGATCCGATCTTGAATTTTTCCGCTTTATATTAATCAAAAACCACCATATTTGCTTAACGCACATGACCGATCCGCTTACACACACACTCACACACCAAAATGTAAACTAGAAATTGTGCAAACATCAACACAACAGGAGATGATTATCATGTCACAGTTCTCTTCCTCGTCCCGAACCAAAACTCACGAAAACCCACACACCTCCACACATGCATTACACTATGGTACTTGTTTTTTGATAAATCTCTGTTCAAGACTATCACACAAATCAATTATGATAGACATTCGATCATTACTGTTGTGATTATTATTATTGTTATTATTAATGTTATAAAATCAACAAATATTTATTTATTTATTTGTGTTATTTTAAACAATTCAAAAATGTGTGTTCAATAGACAACTTTTTTTTTCTGTAGAAAATAAAACAACCTCCTGCCTAAATGGAACAATATGTCTGTGAATATTGTTGAATAAACAAAACAGTTCAATTGTGTTGTCGAAAATAAATTTCGACTTAAAAAAATCTTATCAACTATTGATCATCATCATCACTATACTATGATGATGATTGGTGTTTAGATTAGAGAGAGAGAGAGAGAGAGATTAATACTGGTTATGCTTTCATTCACCCACCTTCTGTTGTTCAATACTCTAAGAAGTAGAATTATTATTTGTAGAGAATAGAAAGTCAGATAAATATCTCATTACGGGGTTGTGAAGATTGTTAAGTTACATACCTGAAGCTTGGAAGCACTGGACGGCCGTTTCGTCCTGGTGTATGGGATTCACCAGTGCCAGTGAGCATCCACGACTCCTGCACCTCGCGGGATGCGAACCCAGGACCGCGAGAATGCCTAACCTCTGGACCACTAAGCCGGTGGTACCTAACGGTGTTAATGTCTAACTTCAATGAATTTACGGAGTTGTGTAACTTCATACACTGTCTTCAGTAGTCACTGTGTACACCTGAACAGGGTTGAACTCCATTGGTCATGATTTTCCACCAGAACTCGGAGAAGATTCCTTATGGAGCTAGTCACTAGTGAGCACATGTAATTGCATTACGGGGTTGTAAAGATTGTTAAGTTACACATTTGAAATCATGATTCGATCAATTGTTAGACCGACATCATTAGAACCCTGGAAGCATTGAAAGACAACCGTTTCGGCTTGGTACAGAAATGACTCATCAGTTACAGTGTGCATCCAAAACTCCCGCTACTTGCAGGATTCAACATAATCAGGGGAGTTCAGCCCTGTCTAGTGTAACTACCGTAGAATGAATGAACGAGGTTGCACAGAATCTCTAGATTGATCAGAGTTAGACATTAATACCGCCGGATGCCGACCAACTCAGTGGTCCAGAGGTTAGGTATTCATGTAGAGGACAGAAAGTTCTGGTATGGAATCCTGAGAATAGTAAGAGTCGTGGATGCGCACTGCCGCTGATGAGTCCTATACCAAGACGAAATGGCCATCCAATGCTTCTAAGTTTTTAGTAATGGTCTAACAATGATTGATTTTCCGTGATTTCAGTACTAAAATTATACTATTATACAGAAGTAACAAATCCAGTACACTATTGTAGTGAAAGAGAACACAGGTGGGGCAACCGAATTGTATTTAACGTAAATTACAGAGTTACTCAGTAAAATAGGAAAACCAAATCGTAAATCGTTAATTTGCAAAATATCAGTTCATCATATAGAACTGGACTGTTCCTGTTGCCAAACATCAATCCATTGTCACTATTCATGTGTTTCATACAAATTCCATTGTGTTCTAACTCTTCCTTTCTTGATCTTCCCCCCATCTTCGGCTGCCAGACATTTGGTTGAAACTCACGTCATATACTACTTATAAGTAGCGCGCACCACAGCACCACACTATGTCAAAACGAATTAATATTAAGTCGTTATTTAGTTATGAATATCAAGATGTTTTACCTGTTAAACACTGTTATTTTATGGCTGGTTGTAATTGCTTTTAAGATTTATTTTTAAGGAATAATAAACAGTTATCTTGTTTGATTGACATCATGAATCGATCAATGTTAGGTTTGAACCATTTGTAACCTGGAAAAACTGGATGGTCACTACGTTCTACTATGGAACTCACGACTTTTAAATACATATCTAAGAATTTTAGTGTGAAACTATGGCTAGATTGCAAGTACATCTAGCTGATGAGTCTGAATTAGGGATGAAACATGCGCTCTGGATTTCAGTTCAAGCCACTGCCCAGCTTTGCTAATCATGTAACTAATAAAGTTTCGACGACTGTATATGTTAGAGGTTGTGGACAATCATCGTGTGTTCACTAGTGTCTAGCTGCGTGAGGAAATTCCCAGAGTTCTAGTTAGAAGTTATGATTAGTGGAGTTCATCTGTGTTGACAGGTTTGAGGCAGTTACCTACCAGAGAGAAAATGAATGATAGTCAGACAATATTATGCATTAATTAACGTTACACATCAACATCGTCCGACACCGTTTCAGTAGTCAAAGGCTTAGCCGTTCACGCACAAAACTGAAGTTCGTGAATAGACAGTGCTTATCAGTTCTATTAGATAGAACCTAGAGAGGAACATGCAGGACAGAGTTGGTTGGACGATGCTGGTCAGTGGCCTAACAGGCGTAAGTAAGTAAGGTTAATATTGTTTGTGGTTCATTCTTTTCAATCAATAAATAGTGGTATAGAGAATTTGTGGAGATTGTTGAACTGTACAACTCAAATTAAGGACTGACCTTATTCAGGCAACAGTGTGCATTCATAATCCTACCGGAGATCAAACCTTCACATTAAGCTTTCACTACATATTCACTTATCAAATCAATTACCAGATATTTGGTTTCAACTTAATTACTTACTTATACCTGTTACCCCCAATGGAGCATAGGCCGCCCACCAGTTTTCTACAAACAACTCTGTCCTGAGCTTCCCTTTCCAGTTCTGTCCAATGTTTGTTCATTCCTCTCATATCTTTCTCTATTTCACGGCGTAATGTGTTCCTTGGCTTTCCTCTTTTCCTTTTGCCATGAGGGTTTCATGTGAGGGCTTGTCTCGTGACGCAGTGAGGTGCTTTACGTAGTGTGTGTCCTATCCACTTCCACCGCTTCTTCCTCATTTCCTCCTCTAATGGGATCTGGTTTGTTCTCCCCCACAGTACGTTGTTGCTGATGGTTTCTGACTAGTGAATTCTAAGTATTTTGCGTAGACAATTGTTGATAAACATTTGCATCTTCTGAATGATGACTTTCGTAGTTCTCCATGTTTCCGCTCCATACAGTAGAACTGTCTTCACATTTGTATTGAAAATGCTGATTTTGGTTTTGTTTGAAAGTTGTTTGTAGTTCCAGATATTTTTCAACTGCAGAAATGCAGCCCTTGCTTTGCCAATCCGCACCCTCACATCTGCATCGGACCCACCATGGTTGTCGATGATGGTGCCAAGATAATGTAAAGGTGTTAACATACTCCAAAGCATCTCCATGAAGAGTGATTTGGTTGGTGCATGTTGTGTGATTGTATCGCAGAATCTTGTTTTTCCTTTTATGTATGTTAAGATCTGCTGCTGCTGTAGAGGCTGTTGCTACATTTGGGTTTTAAACCATAATTTAAATATGATCGGCTAGTTAACACTTCATACTTGACAGGTAAGGCTCCTATATTAGAACTGTCAATCATCTATTATCCAGTACACTTTAGTCTTCATGATTCCAACAACAACAACAACAGATGATCACCACCTATTCTTTCCCTCATGAAATCATGATCACAATAAAATATTATATTGTACACAAGCGGGAAAAACCAATTGAATGAGATGTATAAATGTACAGTCTGTATGTAAACAGACTAATTATCGGATTAAAAGTTATCATGTATACTTTTCCAAATGATTGAATTATTTTTTTCTCTCTCTCTCAAACTATTGATAACTATAATAATAAATATCAATTCTGGACAGAAAAAAAGAATGTATATATTTGAATTTTTGCCTCAACAACAATGTTTATTATTCATAATCTTGGAAGAGAGAGAGCGCGAAAGAGACTGTGTGTGTGAGTGTTGGAGAGAGCCAGCAAGAAACAAGACTACCCCCACGCATCGACACACACACACAAGCCCCAGTGCCACAACAACAACAAGGCAGAACGAGATCTCTAATCCTTCTAAGTCACCACCATCTTTTATTCAACTTTGATTTACGATATAACTAGGATTATTAATATTATTATTATTATTGTTACTGCAATAATGTACCACCTCATCACGACAACTCTCTCATAAAATGTGGGAAAGGATAGAAAAAACATTAGAAAATAACAATTTAGGGTTGTAGAAATTCGATTGATAAAAATGAAGTGTAACAACAACACAAGAACTTCATGTTATCTACTATGTTTTCATAATTCACTTAAACAAGAGATTAGAACGTGGGCGGAGTTGACATATTGATCGTTGACATGGTTATCCTCTTTTCCTGAATGAAAGTGGGTACATGTCACTGACACACACACACACACATCCACCCACACACAAACACGCACACACACACTGTAATAATCGGATATTGAAAATTCTGATGGCAACTAAGCCGGACGAAAATAACAAACATACAAACATACAAACATACAGAAGTATTTATCATGAGTAGACTGGTCAGTAGTAAGTGATAGTTTGTTTCTGTTAGCCTCCTCCTCCTCCAGCTTAAATGACTTACAGATTGTTTTGATTTTTACTGAGAAACTACTTTTTGACCTAATGATAAGCAATGAAGTCGATAGTAAGAATAATCATTTTAGGTGATTATCAGCTAGAAAATTTGTACT